GGGGGGGGGGGGTACTCTGTTTATCTTCGGTCGGTTGGTTGGTTTTTTTCCTCTCGCATAGATACGACGTATACTGCGTTACGCGCGTATACCGCGACACTCGTGACCGGTAATTGCTTCACCGCCTAATTTTTTATTTTTTCATTTTTCTCACATTTCTCCCGTTTAAAATGATAACAAATATCGTTCGTTGGGTGCGCATGCGGAGCGTGCGCGCGACTCCCGTCACGGCACGTCCGAATGTGTTCTCCGTTCAAAACGCCCGCTGAAAACCGCCCGGTCTTCCCCGGGCTTTCGGCCCGTCCGGAACCGGGGGTCCGAATGAAACCACTCGGATCAAACGCGACGCGTCCCTGTGGGTGCGGTTGACCGTCAAATTTCCTTTTTTTCCCGATTTCTATTTAAAACGGCGCTTCCTCGCGCCCGCGACAGCTAAATCGACGGGCAATTTGGCGCCGGCCGTGCGATTGTGCGACGACACGTGAGCGCCGAAATCGATGCGTTCCGCGATATAACCGGGTGTTTGAGAGTATTGAAAACCGTCAATGCAATCGACAGCGTACAACGCGCACGCACGAACAAATGGAAACAGTTACGATTTCAACGAGTCGGTTGGTTTGTTCGGTGTTTGAAAAAAAAGTAAATGTCTTTGTAAGCAACGACCGATTGCACGCCGTGAATTAACCGTTCGGGAAAACCTTGGCAAAAACCGGGAAGAAAAGAAATGCGTACATCGATAACCGCATTGCTGGATTGTTTTGCCTTTTAATAATTCAGTTGAACATTTTTTTTTTTAGTTTTCTATCGATTTGAAAATTTTGACGCCCCGCCCGTTCCTCCCTACAGCACCCACCCTGATTTCAATACGCGTTTTAAACCGAACTTCGCGCCCTGCAGAATCGCATTTCGTTAGCGACACGCTTTACCGTTGCGTACAAATATAATCTGAACGACCGCTGAATTAATCGCGCATACTTTCTAAACTGCCCTCCCGAAACAGTGGCACGCATCGGCAGTGTCGGCACTTTTTTTTTTGACAAAAATCCCGATTAAAAATTACCGTGTAATTGCGATATTTAGCAACTAAATGTAAAATGCATTTAAACTATTAGACCCGCGGTACGTTAACTGCAAATCGCGTATCACATTTCGTCTAGAACATATTAAGATTCGTTTTTTTTTTTTTTTTTTTTTTTTTTTTTCCGTCGCGGTCGGATTGTCGGCGATACGAATTTACACTGGCTTCGGATGTCTCACATGAAGCCCCGTAAGAATACGCCTCGCATCGCGCGCGCACGTTATTCTTTCGAGTTTTTCACATCATTGACATTTTCGTACGGCACACGGTTGTTATGATAACCGCCGGCGCCGCGGGCGAAGTCCTCTTGAGAGTTATGAGATTGGTGTAAGGGGGGTGGGGAGGAGGGAGAGGAATAAAATCCGCTACGCGTCCGTAACGTCGACGGGTCCGGGCCGTTTTACACGGTACACACCGTAATATTGAACACAAATCGCGTTTACCGCGGACTCCCGACGGCGAAAAGACGATCCGAGTGCGTGCCTCGCCACGACGACGCGAAATCTAGTGCCGGAACCCGCCTGGCCTCCTGCCGGACGCCGGAAGAAACCGTAAACCGTATTCGGTCATTGCGGCGGCGGCGGTTTTCCTCGCGGGCGCTACCCGCTAACGTCGGCCGCGTTCAGATAATCCGCAGTCGACAGACGGCACGACGCGGTTCGTTCGCGCGAGTTCGCGTGTGGTTTCGGTTTTCGTTTTTTTTTTTTTCTTTTCCTCGTAGACGGTCCGCGAAGTAACGGCAGACGCGCTACGGTAATTTGAACAGTTACCGTCCCACAGAACTGAAACACAAAGTTTCGTTTCGCGTATTTTTCGCCACGTGCCGCGTATTTCTACGTTTTACGGTGATTTTTAAAAAAAATAAATATTTTATTCGTAGCTTTTCAGATTGAAAAATATCGAAAACGCCGTTTGCGAATCGACCGTTTGTGTACCCGCGTTAAAAACCAACGCAGAAATGATAAAAATCTATAACGATTTATTTTTTATTTTTTTGTGCACGTGTTTTATTTTAAACGGCACAATGCAAAGAGCGCAAACGCATATTTTACAGTGCACATTTCTACGGTTTTTAGAGCACATGGATCCGGGGCCCTAGCGATGGTATTCAACCGAAGCCCGCTGCGAATACGAATTGTACATATGCACATTTTTTTTGTTTTTTTTTTTCTTTCCGTATGCGGCGGACTGTTTTTCGACGAGGAGACCAGACACGTGGGCCGTGCGTACGAGAATTGATCGTACGAGCGAAACGTTAACGAGTAACAGTAATTCCAGCGTCAGAAAATCCATTTCAGCGTTACGAGAAACGAAACCGAGCGGTTAAACGCGACGCTTTCCGTACGGACGAAATCTGTGCGAATGGTCAAACGAGAGATTCGGAGGGAAAATGTACCGCCCGGACAGTGTTTCTTTTTACACTGTCCCTGGGATAATTTGACTTTAACCGGTGAAAAAAAGCCGATTGACTGGCCCGGCTTCGGGGAACGTCGTCGCGGTCGCTGGACCCGATAGCGACTTGCCTACTTGAAGTATTTCCAGCCGCGTTCTTGCGCGCGGCGTCGGTACCGGAACGAAAAAAAAAAAGCGTTCCCGGCGATGTACTGGGTAGGAGAGTGGATGGGGGGTTGGGGTGATGGAGGAGCGGACGTCCCTGTTGGAAAATTCGAGAATTGATTTTCGTCCCCCTCGCGGAATGAATGCCCCGCGGCGGTGCACCTCTAATATATTTTTGTAAGATATTTCGCACTCTGGTCACGTATACAAATAATACAATGTGTACTGCGGCGCGATGCGGTGCTTTTGGGCCAACGCGATGGTGTAATATACAGGGTGATCATTTTAGCCCGACCCAACCATTGTCTATGTACGGAGATTTCGAGGGGAAATATATTTATTGCGGTCCTCCCTCCCCCCCCGCCGCTCCCGGGGGTCATCGTGTCGAAAATACCAGAAACGTTTTTATTTTTTTTTTTACAGAACGATTACAGACGACACTCCGCGCGCACCGTACACGCGTGTCGATTTTGGATCTTCCAATAGCCGTCCGCGATTTCGAAATCCTAAAAATTTCGAAAAATATTCTCTTTCCGAAACGTTCCGATGCGTATCGACGGCGTTATTCCGATGCGATTGGATGTAGAAGGAGAAGCGAACCGACGGCACGTGTGAGTTTCACTAACATGCGGATTTCGATCCTGGTATAGCTCGTAAACAGCGTGTACAGTGTCCGCGGCGTTGAAAAGGCGTGGAGGGGCGGGTTCGAGGTGGTAATCGTGCGCGCGTTTGCGGTGCGTACGATTGCGCGGGTGCAAATTCGACGAAAAATTTTCGTTTCGAAGTGAAGTCGAAACGTGAAGACTGAAACCTCCCCCCCCCCCGCTTCAGTCACTCGCCAAATCGATTTCGCGGACAATCGTCGGATCGCGATGGAAGAGGTGGGGGGGGAAGGTAAATCGAAAAAAATCACCCTGTATACGCGCGTGACGCTAAGGCGCGCGATGGGGTACGCGGCGGGAAAAAAGCGGAGAAAAAAAAACCCCCCGGGAAAAACCGCGGGGGGGGGGAATGGAAGGGGGAGAAAAAAAAAACGTCGCGCCACCGCGTCGCGGGTAACGCACACGCATACAAACGCGCGCCCGCACACACACACACACACACACGCAAACACACGCGGGCACAGACACACGCGCGAACGCGTACGCGCGCGCACTCACACCGCGGCCGCGGTCGGCCGGCCGGGGGGGCGGGAGGGCGGTGCGTTCTCGCGCGCGCGTGTGTGCGTACGCGCCGGGTCGGTCCGCGCGACCGTTGGGTTCTGATCAGTCTGCGTTCGGCCGTCGTTCACACGCAGCTCTCTCTCGTACCCGTTCCCGCCGAACTGCGGGCTTCGCACACGGCCGCGACCGCCGCACAACGTACCGCGCCGCGAGCCGACACAGCGCCGGCGGACCGCCTCGCGGCCCAGAAACAGTCTCTCTCCCTCGTCCGGCGAGGGCCGTCAGTGCATATTTTTTATTTTTTATTTTTTTTTTTTTTTTTTTTTTTTT